ATCAGAATTGATGAAAATAGGAAAAATCCCACAATTTATCCAAAAGCAGAAACAAACCAGCGATTAAAATTGCTGTGCCAAGTGATAACCGGAGAGTATAATATTACGAGATCAGCTGCAAGCGAAGGAAATGGAAAAAGGTGCGGTCAGCGCGTCCAACTTTTAAATAAGGCATGCAAAGAAAATGACCAGCTCTCTTTTCCAATAAGGAACTTTTGAATTTTAAAGGTAATTCGCGTCTTCAGAAATCTGTACGCGCTTAGGAAGAAAATTAAGAACTGAGTTGGCCAGGGCTGCTTTATCTGCATATGCTCTGAAAAATACGTTGGCTTTCTTTCCTTCCTTACTCTTGTAAACTTAGCCAGGGTACCAAAAATCACCTCAAGGTCTTAAATTAGACTTGAAATTTATTTTTATTCCGGACAGATGTTGTGAAAATGACACAAATTTTGCCGCAGAAATAAGTCACTTTGGTGGTAATAATGGGGTAAACGAAGCTGATGTAAGTAGTCAAGGGTCTATGTAGAAAAAGAAAACCTCAAAATTACCTAGCCACTAATTTCACTTATCCTGTACTGTGTAAATAATTTCGAACAGGCTATACAAGCATTGCCATCTACTGTTTCATTCTGTCTTAACTGATTACCATATATGCAGTGCGTGACAGATCTCATGAAATGTTGGCCAAAATTCTGGAATGCGTTTCCGATTAGGAAGGATTACTTAGGTGGGGTTGTTATACTAATTAGCATACAGCACAACCCTATAACATTCCAGACTCATCAGGATGTCGGCTTTTAAGTGGACATACTTTTGACTTTTTGATTTTCTATCAAATGAGCAAAAGACAGCATATTTTTGTGCATGTTCTCTATAAAAAAATAGTTGAATTTTTAAGACCATCGAAAATCAATAGGAAAAATACATGCTACACAAGTAGTCATTTTTTACCGGATGTGATTTCTGCAGGTCAAAAATAAGTGCACTCAAAAGCCGACATATTGGCAAGTCCGTAATATTATAGGGTTGTGCTGTATGCTAATCAGTATAACAACCCCACCTAAGCAATCCTTCCTAATTGTAAACGCATTCCAGAATTTCGGACAACAGTTCATGAGATCGGTCACCCACTGTACTTAGGTGCGATGATGTGCCAGCCTAATTCGTTCAAACAAGTAACAGGGATTTTCGGCATGTCATTATGGCGATAACACCCTGTGTATGATTTTGCGCAGTAAATTTGCTTAAACAAAAATGCAGTTTCTATTAGAGCAATCAACTACTAGGTTACATCGTGAGATACCCGAATTCACTGTTAAGAGTCCCAACCTGGCTGCTGATGCCAACTTCAAGCTACGCAGTCAGAATTAAGTAGCCCTGGTGCGAAAAGCGGCAAATTAAAGTTAATTTAAAGTTATTTGCATAACTGCGCATTAGTGGATGCAGGTTTGCCAAATGATCTGGCAAACATTGTGTGGTTGGCGAAATTCTACTGTTCGAGGGTAGGTGTACGTGGTCGGAAAATGTGCGAACATCGTGAATTGATGTAGCTAGTTCAGACCTATGACTAACTGCAGGGTTTGAAGCTGGAAACATATTTCCTAGAAGAAATTGAGCGAACAAGACAATAAAGTGGAGGAAAATAACATTCGCATGACCCTCTAGTTCGATGAGACTCGAAAAACGGCGATCGGTGAAATACCCTCAAAATGGTTCCATTTCAAGCCCTAAAGTGGTCAATAATAAGAAGGGTTGGCTCGCATTTGCAGTATTTAAGTCATACGCTCCGTGGAAGCGGCTCTACCCGGGCCTAAGAAAAGGCCTTTCATCGAGATTGTGACGACTGCTCTGTAAACGACAGAAGTATAACCATTTAAAGTGAGTCTAAGACGATGAATAAAATCACCTTTAATTGGTAAAGAAGTAACTAATTAATGTGGACACTTTTCCAGGCGATCCCATGCGTGTTATCCTGTCGCAGGCTGATTATTTTCATAAAGATTGGATGAGTAAATGGTTTGGAGACACAAGGGAGCGTTAACAGTGTGTGGTGAAACTGACGAAACGAAGTGCATATTCACAAAACAGAACTCTAAAAGACATGAAACTTCCGAAGATTTTGTTTCGTCATGCAGTTTCCCAAGGACAGTAAACATATTGTCAAGCGTAGTTTAGGGGTTTTTAGGGCGTTTTGGCGCCTTTGAGGTTTCGTCTTGCCTAAGAGCTGTGGCAACATAACGGTTTGCTCAGTCTTCATCAAAGTGTGGAAGAAATGTCGTAAGCGTTCACTTCAAATAAAGGAATCCAGCTATTCGGACAGTTTGCACAAGAAGTTAATTGTCACATAAATGCTTTGTAGCAAGGGATTACTTGCACGGTTGCAGGGTTCTATCCGTCTTCAAAGTCGACAGGAGTCCTACGATGATGCGACGCATCCCCACATGCAAAATCCGAACTACTGATTAAGTGGTTTGCGATTCTACACCCCCAATTTCTACCCCCGCACATTTGCTTTGGTGGGAAAGGTGCTCGCGTCGCGAAATTGCGCTTCACAATCCGTTTTCATTTCTCCGTGCATTGTTGGTAGCACGGCCGGCTGAAGAGAGCAGACAATCCAGAAATATTTGTTACAGTCGTCCTTGTCTCCTTTAACAATGCTATTCATTTATCAAAAGTACGACCGCAACAGGTATATGGAAATAGTTTTACTATTTTAACCTGATGACATTCCATGGATTAATTTACTCGCCTAAGGGGATATTCTTCTTTTGTTAATTATAACTTCCGACCTTTTGCCAGTCAGCATAAAGATGTACGAGTTCTTAGGCATTGAACAGTAGGCTTTTGTTATGGGCTGTTCTACTTACCGAGTTGTTGTACGAATTATCTTCTGGACATATAGGATGTCTTTATTTCGTTTAAGACGGGCAAAAGATTTGCTGTGCGACATTTATGTGAAGTATAAACCCCCGACCCATACCTACCTTCCAAAAATCTCAAACTTTGTCTTCATAACTGAGCCCTGGTTTTATCCATACCCTTCGTTGACAGGCTTCGTACGATTTGGTGTTTTTTGCCTTTACAGCGGCTGGTTAGTAGAAACAAGAAAAGAAGTCCGTTCTTCCATCATATTTTTGTCCCCGATTTTGAAGTAACTTTAAATGCTTCGGTCAATGCTTCTCGTCGCTTTATTTTTTTTCTAGATATTACTCAGCAAAACTGAGTTCACAGCTAGAATGATAAGCATCGCCATTTCCAAAGGTTGTACCACATGCATAATCGCATACAGCTCTGACAGGACGCCGGAGAGTCGGATGAATTTACTTACTATAAGGGGATTTATTTAGCGCCCCCTAATTGCGCCCTGGAAACCAAAACATCACAGAGAGTAACTACATCAAAGAACTGACGCTTTACGAGTGAACTTTCGAAATTTTTCGGCAATCTTGCAGTAGGTCACATTTGGTAGATGACTAAACCTCATCAAGTCTTGCTTGATGGATCCAGTATGATCTACCTTCGATTAGCTAACAGAAAATCTACTGAATTTGAATAGTTCGTTCTTAAGTGTTATACGTGGCGTTTGTTTTTTCTTCCTTAATCATCAAAGGGGCTCCCTCAAGGACATAGGTTAGCGTTTTGCAGATGTGCGTAAGTTTATAACCCTGCCTGGTCCTCGTGAGCCCTTCATTAAAAAAAGGTAAATCTGCAATGAAATAATAGAAGTACGTTTTGAAAATTAACATTTACACGCAGTTTTCCTGTCCCTCAGAACAAACCTTCACGCTTTTAAATCGCGTGCTTTTTCAGTGTATGCATACAAGTTAAAGTACCAGGTGTTAATGTGTTTTCTTAATTACTCATCATACACTATGACTGGAAAGCTGCGGGGGTTTAAATCAGCCGGCTGACTTAGGATACATAGGGCCTAACGCTGTTACGTCTGAATTGCAAAGGTTTGGGAGTTTTGAAATGCGAAACCACCTTTCTAATAGGGGCATTTATTTCAATTTGGAGTAGATACATTGCCCACAGAGTAGCCGAAGTAAGTTGGTAGCCATTCTGATGCGCACTACCAAATCTTTAGTGCGGTCGAGTGCCAGATTTACTTATTGTATTCAAACTGTAACCGAACTTCGTTTCTCAGAGGACATGATCCAAAGATGAGGAAACGGTTAAGAAGGAGGATATAGCCCTGAATATAAATTCAATTCGTGATGACTCACCACAAAAATACCAGTCCAATACCTAACTGGAAGCCACCAAACTACACAAGCTACGATAAATATATGATGAACAGTTGAGCCTGTAAGTGGAAAGAAACAGTTGCTAGGGGAAGATGGGTGTTAAATGAACTAGCGTTTATGCAAAACTCTATGTTATCCGTTAAAAAAAATTGGTAAGTAAAATGTCCGTGGTCATTGCAATAAATCTCCAAGCAATATGCAGAGGACCAAGAGACAGCAGTTACATTTATTTACACGAGCAGTGTCGTGCATGAGTAGGGTTGCCCGATCTGGCCTGATAAGGGAATGCATTGTAGGAGTTTCGTTTTTCTTGAAGCTCCAGTCTAACATACTTGTAGGCGGCGAATACCGTACACATAGATCCGAGTATTGCCAATCGCAGCTGGGAGATCCTCTGCTGCCCCTG